GAAAAAACCGAACCATAACCAATTAACAGATATAACCGAACCATTTTAAAAACCGTTGGTTCGGTTTCTAATTTTTGTTAACCGATAACAACCGGTTCGGTTATGGTTTTATAGGTTAACCGAACCATTATTAACCGAACCGCTAACTTTATATTTTAATACATAAAAATTATGGATTATGGATTGTATATAAAACAATAATATCAAACTTATTTAAGACCCACTAAAATTTCAAAATATAATTCATTAATCCTCACTTATCAGGAGACGAACGTGCAATCAAACCATCAAAGGATGATCACGCAGATCATGCAGACACACACAATTTTCCAATCATGCATTGAGTTAGATTATTGATTAATGTTGTCATTCCTAATCAACTAATTCTATAATTTGTAAACATTATTCACAATTAGTTTAATCTTCACACTCATAATCTTAATCAGAGACTTCTCACACCCTTAATCCTAATCAAAGATTGTTTGACTTTATAGTTCTATTCGAATGATTTTTTTAATTTATAATCAAAACTTGTAGGTAAGTTAAGTTTTTGGTTCTTCTTCACTTTGTGATATATTAAGAATGTATTTTTTTTTTATTTACTGTTTTTGACTTAATCACATTGAATGTATATGAGTGATTGATTTTTTTTATCCATATAACACACAATATAAATGTTTAGCTACTTTATTTTATAATTTTTTATTTAATCGCATTGAACATGTATGAATGTTTGGCTTTATTTTAACGTTAATATCAATTATCAATATATGAAGTTAGTAATGTTAATTTTTTTAATGTTTTATACTTTTTGTTAAATGTTTTTGATTTTGAATGTAACTATGTGTTATCTCACTCTGAGTATTAAAGGTACACATTTTATTATATTACTATAATCTAGGTTACAAACATTGGTGTCGATGACTTTTTGTATTCTCTTTTTATTTTTTATGTCACAATACTTTTGTCATTTATATTATTTTGAACATTATGGTTAACCAAATTAACCATTAACCAAAACTGTTAACCGACAAAAACCATTAACCATAACCAATATTAACCATACTCAATGGTTACCAAAATGCATTAACTAATCATAATGGTTATGGTTCGGTTTTGACCAATAATCGAATCAAACCATCTCATACACACCCCTAGGGTGGGTTTTGTTTTTTTGAGTTGCAACTGCTTTTCAATCGACCCGAATGAAGAAATGAAACTTCGGAAGAAAATATTTGATATAATGATAGTAAATTTCAGCTCTTGTTCCGAATTAAAGATGAAACTAACCTCCAAAATGGAACCATGAGATTCATCGGACAAATTGGAAGGAAGTGAACAAGGGTTGAGGAAGACGACCTAATGAGATAAAGAGAGGGTGGGGTGGACTTACCTTCTTTTTTTTTTCTTTTGCTTTCTTTTTAATAATAAAACAATTAAAAAAATAAGAAAAATGTGAAAAATAAATAATAAGGACAAAATAATCCTTTTAAATTTTCAAGGATCAAAACTAAAGAAAATTTTTGATTTTTTAAATTCTATCCAAAGTTTTTTTTTAAACCACAAGGACCAATTTTATAGTTTTGTCTTAAAAGAAAGAATCTAAAATAATGAAATAAAGATATTGGTTACACAACTATGATTTTGGACATTACAATTCTACTATAAACAAAAACTTGCAAATTCTAATATAAGAATTTTTAAAAGAAATTCGACCTGAAACAAGGGATGCATAACTTAACTTGCTTAATTCGTTTTAGGATAGGGGATAAAAATTTAATATTTATGGAAGACCGGGAAATTAGGAATGGGAGTTGATCTTTTTGCACAAAACGACGTAGCATTTATCTAAACGAAGGTAGACTTTCCTTATATAACTACAATTCGATATTTTATTGAATATTATACCGAATCTCGCCTACCTTAATCTTCCGTGATCTACATCTACTTTCCTATTTGGATGAATCCTAATTCTTTAGGTCACTGGATTCCTTAACTATATAAGTATGGCCAGTTCATGTAGATTTTGAGTTATAACTCAATCGGTATATATATCCTAAAACATATATATCTTCGAGACATGGCTGAGTTAGCTGAGTTGCCTTTAGAAGTCATCGATGAAATCTTATCAAGAATGCCTCTCATCGGGTACATCTCTTGTCGACCCAATCAACCATCTATTCTCAGTTTCTTCCATATCAACGAGTTGAAAGAACATACTCCTGAAACTAACTCAGTAATGGAGTTTGGGTGTCAAAATTTGTTGATGGTTTTGGGTTCTTGCAATGGGCTGCTTTATCTATCTCAAAACCATGGTAATGACATGATCAATGACATGACTACTTTGGTTGTGATAGATCCTCTAAGGAAAGAACGTTATGAGTTGCCACCTATCGATATTATGTTAGGGGAGTATTTCCAAGAGTCATGTGGGCTTTGTTTTGATGATTCTACAAACACGTTCAAGATGGTTTGTGTTGTGGTAAGAAACCATGCAACATGGCAGATGAAACTTGCTGACGTGAGGAAGAATCTTCGCACCATGGTGCATGTCTTAGGGACAAATTCATGGATAGAGATACCTCAAGTTCCAGATTATCCGATAACAGGTGAAGGAGTATTTAGCCATGGATATGTGTATTGGTTAGCAGCTTGTGTTGATGAATCACCAAATAATGATCCAAGAAAAGTGATATGGTTCAACGTGAAGAAGGAGGAATTCGGGTGGATTGATCTTCCTAAAGAAACACAAACACAAGATGAATCATTCATCAGCCATCGATTGGTTGATTTGCATGGTGAACTTGGATACGAATACATGTCTAACAACATTGAGGTGTGGGTGTTGAAGAAGAAGGAATGGGTGATTTATTGTAGGGTTGATCAGAAGCCACCTTTTCCTCATCAAGAGATAATGGTTTTAGGTCAATGGAACAAGAAGGGGGACTTGTTAATGACGAACAATCCATGGGAAAAAAACTTACCGAAAAGGTTGTTTGTTTATGGTCAGGAAAGTGGTGAGACACATGAAGTAAAACTTGTTGGTTGGGAGAATGGATGGGAAGGAGATATACGAATGTATCAAAGTAGCCGGTTTTCAATTCATGGTTGATCTTGAATCTTGATATTGTCTTTGCATGGTGTATTTAAGTTTTTATTGCTTTTCCTTCTTTCTATTAATGTAATTAATTAAGATCAATCACTAGTTTTTTTTTTTCGATACATATTGATTCAAGCATTCGGCTAAATGACCACTAGATTTGTTTCTAGATTCTATATTTGTATTTCAATATTTTCATATATATGGAAATCCTAACATGGTATCAGAGTTTTTAAAGTATCTACATGATTATATTATATATGGAAACCCTAACATGGTATCGGAGTTTTTAAAGTATCTACATGATTATATCAATGCCTCTATAAGATATCACTTATAAATGCCTCTCTTCTCTTAATTATGACTGATCAGTTTGGGTATCAATAGATGTAGCGCAGTGCGTAAGCATGTGGGTCATGACCTATGGCTTCAGCGTTTAACTCTCGTTGCCTACAATGCTTATTCTCTTTTTTTTTCCTTAACAATGAAAAATATGAAATTTCAGATTTAGCCCTAAAGTCTTGGTAACTTGCTGATTTTTTGTTTTTACGTAATTTAATAATGTTTCACTTTCAGTCCCTTTGGTGAATTAAACTCCTGCCTCTTTGTTGATAAAGAAATGGGATAATGACTTGAAAGGGTAACAAACTTTCGACTTTTGTCACATTTAGTCACTAAACTTTTTTTCGTTATCTATTTGCCATTGAACTATTGAAACTGTTCACATTTTACCCTTATGAACAAAATCGAAAGTTCGTTTCCCTCTAAAAACCAATGGTTTGACATTTTCCAAATTAAAAAATTAAAATTTCGAATCTGATTTTGGTTTTACAAAAAAATGAACCATTCTCACTAATGTGAATTATGACCATTGGTTTGGCATGCGAAATTTGTGACATCCCATGAATATGTAGTTACAACATCGTCTGAAATCATAATTCATAGTAAGGGGTTAGAGTATCATCACATGAATACGTAGTTACAACATCGGCTGAACTTGTAATTCATCACCTACAGGTTATGGGTCTGCTGGTGTTTCCACTGGGTTGTCTAGAATAGTCCGTGGTCGCCATCGATACTCTGGTAGATGACTACATCGCCACATTGCTAGTAAAGGTTATGGTATCTCCTTTCATCCTACATCACATATTCATCATAATCTATTTACCTAATTATCTCCACCTTTATATATCATCACCTATCTCTCATCATTTTATTTCATCACACACCAACTATTTCATCTACCCATGTTTCATCTGCAACATATTTGTAGATATAAAATAAATATACCGTTTAAATCTTTTAAAACACGTATAAAATCGTTCATCCAACATGCACAGCAAGTATTCAAATAATATGCACACATAGCACGTAATTTATATAAAATACTTCATATCTATGTGTAAGATGAAAGTAACTACATATACCATAAATGCTTCCTAACTTTGAACCCCAAGGTTTATTCTACTAAAGCTTCATATTCTCGGCTCTCTGAACCTAGAAGGGTCCAGATCTATTACACCAAAAAGCTCAAGATAGCTCTTCCTCTCACTTTACACACTCAAGCTCGCTAGGGTTCTCACTTATGGGAAAGGTAGTCGCAATTGAAGGCCATAAGTGCCTTTAAATATGGCTCGAGCCCAAAGATTTAGGGTTTCTGCCAACAGCACGGACTCGTCGAGTCGCCTCACCGACTCGTCGAGTCCATTCATTAATCCGAGTCATCAGTCGCTACCTTACTCGACGAGTTGAGGCGTCAACTCGTCGAGTCTCTCTTCTTAACTCAAAAGAAAAATACTTAAATGATGATACTTGGAAATCCGGATGTTACATTTTGTTTTTTTATTTCATAGATTTCTTCATCAACAAATGTTGCTACAATTAAACAAAAATAAATAATTTTGCTAAAACATAATGCAATATGAAGTTTGTTCACATTTAGTCATTGAACTTTTTAGAGGGAAATGAACTTTCGATTTTGTTCACATTTAGTCACTAAACTTTTTTTCATTATCTATTTGCCCCTAAACTATTGAAATTGTTCACATTTTACCCTTATGACCGGTAACAGCCGGTCATAAGGGTAAAATGTGAACAATTTCAATAGTTCAATGGCAAATAGATAACGAAAAAAAGTTTAGTGACTAAATGTGACAAAAATCGAAAGTTCGTTACCCTTTCAAGTCGTTATCCCTAAAGAAATTGGTTCGCTTCTCCTTTCTAATTTATAATGGACGCATTTTAATATACTGATTTATGTTTTCGTAATTGAATTACCATATACTTAAGAACGATTTCATTGTTAGAACAATATTTATTTATTATTTATTATTAGCTATGAAGTTTAAATATTAACTTTTATTAAATGGAATTCTATTGTTCCGGCATACCTGAAAACAAAAGTTATATATCAAACGAGGTTATGAATAGTGTAAATAAAGAAATTAGATAAATGATTGGCCGAACGAGACATATAGATAGTGGAACAAAAACGAACACATACGATTTTTTTTAGGATCATTACCTTATAAACTTGTCGGTCAAATATAGGGTGCAAATAACATGACAATATTTAGTTAAGACCTAGCAATAAGTTTGACAATGTGAGTTTTTTGTGTTCTGTGGTTTATCTACAATGTGATTTATTGGGATGACAGATTTAATGGAACGGTGGGGTGTTTAATCATCGTGAGCATGACGGATATGTGTAATTAGACGAAAATGGAAATTGAGAATTATACTCATTTCCTTGGGTATTTAAAGTTATTGAGCATAATGGATGGGTTGTGCCAAGGGAAGGCTTTATTTTATTTTTTATTTCTTCCAATGTAGTTTAGAAAATAGTTAAGTATTCAAATTGATCTTGGGAGATGATGAACTCGACTTTGAGCTTTAATAATTCAAACGAACTATTAAGAATAAACAAGACAAAACTGCCAAATTGGTCCTTGTGGTTTTAAAAAAACTTTTGATGGGATCCAAAAAGTTTTCAACTTGCATGGAAGGTCTAAAATCAAGAATTTTCTTTGGTTTTGGTCCTTGAAAATATAAAAGGATTATTTTGCCCTTATTATTTATTTTTCGGGTTTTTTTATTTGTTTTAATTGTTTTATAACTAAAAAAAAGCAAAAGAAAAGAAAAATAAAAGGATGGGTCCACCCACCCACCTCTCTCTCTCTCTCTCTCTCTCTCTCTCTCTCTCTCTCTCACACACACACACAAATAAGATGAAAAAAAAATCCCGGATTGCAATAAAATAATAGTTTGACACAATGAGCTCCTTATCAACGGTTGATAACATCTTTCATGATCAACCATATATCTTCATTTACAACACATCTTCTTGTTAAAACACTGTATATCTTCATATGTTCATCGATGATCTTCACAAAAAAAATCTACCATTCTTCATAGGTTCATCAGCTCAAATCCCAGATATTCATCATCATCTTCTTCGAAACCCATTTTGATTATCTTTATGCAAAACAAAATTTGGTTTCATAATCGAATCCCAAAATAACCAGATTCAACAAAGATATGTCCTTCCATTTTCGTTTATGTTTGAAACTAAATCATCACACTCATAAACAAAATTATTACCTAGATGTATTTTTTCGAATACAAATCCTATCAGAAGGAGAAAACACGAACCTCCATCCAATAAGCACAATTTTCCTCCACAGAATCGGGAATGAAAATCCTGAAATCCAACCTTTAAAACCCATAAAATACACATTTAAAGATATTCATGTTCATCATCTGAAATTGGACCGTGAAACCCATGAAATCGGACCTTGACACCCTTAAAATCGGAACTTGAAAACCCTAAAATTGGAATATATGAAATTAAATTGTTGGTCTTACCTTCATCAGATGGGAACGTGTGTACATAGGAAGACGCAGATGCTCAGGAGTTGGGTTATGTTCTTCGACAATAATTCATTGATTAGTTGTCACGGGGAAAAGAAAATGGCAGAGGGGGCAGGTTTAGTGTGGTGATGGTTGAAGGCGGCATCGATATCTAAAACGATTTTGGGATGAGATGGAGAACAGGGGAGAAGCTAGAGAGGGAGGAAATGGACATGAGGTGATAATCGGTGGTAGTTGTGATGTTGTCGGAAAAATAGAGGTGTATATGAATGGAGATGTTGAGGAATGGGGTTGGGACCAAATTCGATTGGGAAGAGAGAGAGAGAGAGAGAGAGAGAGAGAGAGAGAGAGTGTGTGTGTGTGTGTGTGTGTGAGAGAGAGAGAGAGAGAGAGAAAGAGCATTTTTTATTTTCAATTAAAGTATGAAAATAAATATGGAAAAATACAAAAAAAAGAAATTAGAAGGGCAAAACGGTCATTTCAAGTGCTTAATGGACCAAATTCAAAGGAAATTCATGATTTTTGGACCAAATTCACTGGAAATTTCTGATTTTGGACCATCCATGCAAGTTGAAAACTTTTTGGATCTTATCCAAAGTTTTTTGAATACCACGGGGACCAATTTTGCAGTTTTGTCAATAAACAAAAACAAAAGTTTGTGGTGTATATTGTAAATACTTAATTCCTCTATACTTTGGTTGTAATATTGCTTTTTATGTAAATATATGTCAAGTACATATGATGTGTGTGGTATTTATTCCAACATTATATGGTATGGAGCTCAAATTTGGTTAGGTTCGAGATCTTACACCCCCTTTTCTTAAAATAATTATTTTGAATGATCTATTTTTCATTTTGTTCGGAGCTTCAAATCCGCTTAGACTAAGTGGACACACACGCTTTAAAACTTGCTAAAAACCCACAACGAAAAATTTAACATAAAGATTTTATGAAAATGAAATAAAGATAATCGGTTCAACAACCAATATAATTTATGATTTTGGATGAATAAATAGTGAAAATTTTGGACGGTAACGTCCCAAAATTTATAACCCAAAAATTTCATTTTTTATTAATAAAACCATCAACCAATCATGATTATAAAAATCATAAAGAAATTCAAAATATGTTAAGAATCATCC